GATTTGGTGATGGGAAACCCGTGGGGATTACAATTGAGATGAAAAAAAAAATGTGAAAAATGATGTAAAAATAAACTTTTTAATAAAAAAAAAAAAATGAAAAAAAAAATGTAAATTATCTATAGAAGGGACTGAGACATAACATTCCACCATATAATTAGGAAGCATGGAGTGAAGGTCAAGGGTATGAACGTTTGAGATCAGCTGATCTCTGATTTTGTACTGAGGTGGCATTTGTTTAGTGGAAAACTCATTCCTTTCCTAAGCTGCAACCCCACCAGCACTAGTGACGGCATGAATTCAAGACGGCTTCATCGGACCCGAGCTGAAGGTACAGGCCATGTCTGGAAAAATAGGAACAGAACAGAGGAATGCATTCTGTGAACCGAAGGCTAGCACTAATATTTAGCTCATACTTCTAACCTTTTACTGCCTGCAGGCTTAGGTTCTGGTTCATTTTCTTCCAGCTTTTTCCCAGGTGCCAACTTCTCAGCACTGTCGAGCAAAGCACTTAGGGCCACTCTCCTGAACACATTCCCATGAGCCTCTTTGATAAACTGAACCAGTTGACGGATATCACAATACAGCCCCTATTTGGAAGCAAGAGCAAAATTTGGGAGAAAGAGAAATAGTTGCATGATTAAAGTTTGCACATGAAGAGGGGGAAAGGTAATTCCTTAGGCTTAAATCAGCATTGGACATCTAAAAAGAAGAAATTTACTCTGGTAAAAAGATGTCTGTACTGCCTCTCCATCACTACTATAGGAATATTTCCAGAACTGTCCATTATCTACAGTACAAAAATTAGTGTTAATTATGCTTCATATTCAGAAGGTTGGCTGTATAGTTAGAAAGACATCTCTTTATATTTTTAGCCAATAGATTCTCCAGCTTAAATTTTCTCATACAATTATGACTTCTGAAGAGAGGTCTGCTAAAAAGAAGACAATCAAAATTTTGTTTAGAGTGGAGATTTCAGACCTGAATCAGTTTTTCCAAATCTTCTGCATCATTGTGATAACATATGTATACTTACAAGAGCCTGCTACACAAGAATGACACATTTTGGCTGCCCAGATTGAGCAAATGATACGTTACAGTTCACTGGAACATAAACCTGAACTATGAATTTAAGATGCTGCAGGACTGTTAAAACCAACATGTTGCTGAGTAAATCTGTAAACACTAGGACTGCTATGCACATTTCCCCCCAACATGCTTCCTCCTTCCCTCTTTAAGATCATTTACATATTCTTTGCTGTATGAAAGGTTCATGGCAAAGCAGAACATGGAAACCTAAAACACACTAACCTTGGTAGTTTTGCATTTCAAAATCTAAGGCCACTGGGACAACTGTGTCCATAATCTTCAGAAAAGCAGAGGGCAGACCACAGAGGAAAATGTAGGGAGAGGGTTCTTTGCATCCTGTAGGCAATAAGACCTTGTGTCTTCACTGTATTCTTTGGTCACTCCTCCAGGAGAGGGACAAAACCTCAGAGCACAAGGGCACCAAATTGCCCAGAGTACCCAGTTCTAAGAATACCAAAGGGCCTTGTGAACTAACAGGCATGGCCTGATCATGGAGACTCAGGGTCCCCCTCCCCAACCCCACCAGGTTGTAGACCTGCCTGAGACCTGAGGTTCTCTGTACAGCTCTGAGAAAAGGAGATGCAAGAATCAATGAGGTGTCACTTGTAGCCATTCTGGTGGGATAGTGAGTCAGTGTCAAACTTAAGATGATTTACAGGAAATTAAGAAATGGAGTTACTTCTTCTATACATGGCTTTGAGCACTCAACTATGTACTCACTCATACATTTGAATTAACTTTTCAAATTATTTCTTGGCAGGATCGGGCTGAATGCTTCAGTTATTTTCCAGCTCTGAGAACCTTACTGGGGTGATTTGGACAGAAAAATGAGACTCCCTTTGGTTTGGTGTTTTATATTTATTTATCTCAAATTTGGTGAATAGTTTCAATGGTTCCCTTAATTCAGGTTGATTAGCAGATAGTGTCCATAAGTATAAATATAATGATTTCTGCACAGGAGTTATAATAGCTAAAAGACTATTAATATAGAGAAATGCTTCTTTCATCCCAGAGAGACCTGAATCCATCTATTCACGTCAGACTTCATCAGCCTTAATCTACATTTTAGTACCCTAACCACAATCACTTTGGTAGCAGTTAAGTACTAACCATGCAGAGCCTGATTCTCTACTTGTGGCTTCAGTGGTTTAATTAGCCTTTTATAAAGAATAGCTAAAAAGTGACAGAGCTCAATAAAAGAAAACAAATCTATTTCAGCAGATGTTTACATGAATTTTTAAAGTAAAAATCATTCCCCCAAAATGCTTAAGCTCACATTCTTTAATAATTCACAATCCAACCTGCCATGCTCTAGCACATTCTTTCTGAAGAGCTATTTCATCGGTCACCACAAAGCCTCTCAGGTGGAAGAGGAAGATAAGCCATTTAGCAGGCAGGTCAGGAGTAACCAGGAGGTACTGTCGCTGAGACTCCACAGGAGTTCTTAGTGATACTGGGAGAATACATAGTTTAACTTTCAGTTTTCAACCTCTCTTTCCAGGTCACAACATGAGAACTTTTCTCAGCGCAGACTGAGCACACCTGTGTGTGGGAAGAAGAGGTAAATTTCTCACCAGATTCTCAGGACTGTGTAATTCATGTGTGGTTGAAGCACAGCGAGTGATAAGGGATTTAAACATGGCACCGACGATAATGCCTTCCACGTTTTGGGCCGTTGACTTGTTGTCCACTGTGGTGAAGTTATTTCCAAACCCAGCCTTGTCTGGAATGCAAATGCACCAATTAAAAGCAAATTTGTTTGTTTTTAAAGATTTATTTCTTTATACATACAGAACTGGGGTACAGACCAGAGGTGCAAGGGCGGTGAGAGAATTCACCAGAGACAGAGTGGGGAGCAGAACAGGCGACTGAGGAAGTACACTGCTGAGGGGAGCAGCAGGCATGACAGGAGAGGTCTGCCGTGTCATATGGGTCACCTCTCAGGCCGGAAATCGAACTCAGGCTCAAGTGGCTTTAGCTTCATAGTGCTGTGCTTTAACCTGCTGCACCACCAGAGAGGGCCTTAAAATAAATGTTTCCAAGAAGCTACACAGTTTAAGGAAGTAATGAAGTACGTGGCATCCAGGAATTAGTGAAAGGCTACACAAAATATAGACGGACGGTTAAATATACCCTTGCTTTAATATGAGGAGCTCTAGATAAATGACTATATTCTCCTTCAATGCTTTACTAGGACATTGGTTTACAATTTTGTTTGTTCTTTAGAGGAATAGATCGCCCCTGCAGATGTGGTTACAACTCCACACTCATCGCCAAAATACCCATAGTCCCCCACCATTGTCCATTATGTGTTCTCCCTACTTTCATCTCTCCCCTATCATCTCCCTCACCAAGAGTCTCAGTTCTATAGTGCGTTTTCTAGGGTTAGTTCTTATTTTGGCTTTATTTCCATAGAATTTGTTGACAATTTCAACTAATAAATTTTAGCAAAGAAAATCCACCATTGACTCGATGAAAAACTTTCAGACCTAGTATAGGTTTTTTGTTTATATTTACAAGTGACATTGTCACTCTGCTATGCCTTTCCCTCTTCTGCTCTGTTATCTTTCTAAATATATCATTCAAAGAAAATTAACAAGTTGCTAAATGATTCCTCAGTGGAGAATGATTTAACAGGATTCAGTGTTTTTAGTGGTCAAGATGGCTGCTTCTCGGTGGAAATTCTTCAGTTCCTCAGAGGATGTGAGAGGGAGCAATCAGTGTGCTGGGCTGGGGGGAGGAAAAAGGCAAGGAGGGGCCTTGCAGAACCAGTTCTTGACATAAAAAGGAGTTAATACTGCAAAGAGATCAAGAGGTGGTCCCGTAAATTTTTGCTTCTGGAAACTTCTGGGGCTTATGGAGAGGAAACTAACAAGTTCTCTCGAGGCCAGCTGCTAACTCACCCATGTGTGTCATGCCAGTGAAGGGAGGCCATCACCGCTGTGAGTTTTTATGCTAGATTTTTTGCATTTCTGTGGAACTTTCTCAGGGGCACACTAGGTGTGGTCTTGCCAAAGGAATACTTAGGATCATGGGGCAGGGTATGTGCAGCTCTAAAACCAATCAAATAGCAACTTGAGGTCAGACTGACTGATTCACAGGGAACCACTCCACTTCTCAGGGGATGTTTCTAGATTTACATGACAGAAAGAAATGTCTTAGCCTCTGCTTCCAATTTCTAGCTCAACAGCTACACAAGAGAAAGAAAAAACACTTTTATTAAGGATATTATCTCTTGCAGTATCTTGACTATAAATCTCACTTCATTGACTTTTTTAAAATTTCTAATGTGTTTGACTTAAAATGACTTTGATAACATGGACTATTTCAGGGACATTACAGAGGAACAATATGTTCTTTTTAAAAAAGATGTATGTACTTATGCATACAGAACTGGGGTACTTAGAGAAGACTCACTAGAGATTCACTAGAGACAGAGTGGGGAGCAGAACAGGCAGACTAAGGAAGTACACTGCTGAGGGGAGCAGTGGGTGAAACAGGAGAGGTCTGCTGTATCATGTGGATCACTTTGGATCTAGGGATGGAACTCACACCAAGGTGGCTGCAGCTGGCTTGCAGTACTGCACTCTAAACCACTGCACCACCAGGGAGAGCCCACAATGTGTTCTTTTAAGTAATAACCAAACAATAAAGTCTGGGATACAGTTTGAAAATTGCTTCTAAAGCCATCAACAATTGCTTCATTATTATTTAACCAACTACTATCACACATACATTATGTAAATGAAAAAAAAAAAGTCTATGAAGTTATTTCTTCCCAGGCTCTAATTAAAGTGCATTTTACTCAACTCCGGCTCCCTAACCCACTTTCATTTCATCACTGCATTTGCATTTAAGTGGTATTGGAGGTGTTCAAGCTTCTAGATGCATTTCATATCTACTGGAAAGACTCCTAGTACTAGAGTCTTTCTTAAAGTCATGAAGTTTCTTAAGCTTAAGCCAAGAATAGTACACATTTATATGTATACAAAAATTGTGTGATTATTATGTTTACTGTACTCAGGTATTTTTTCCTCTTCCTGTTTTATTTTCTGAGAAAATTGCTGTGTCTGTACATCACATGTATTTACTTCATCTTTATTGAACTTATGAATCTATTATTTTCTTCCTCAATATCAGAGTTTATTTGAGAAAGAGGAATGCCAGGAGGGGCAGTGTGGGCTGAGGGGCTAAAGGTGAACATGCCACAGGTCACCAAATTCTGAGCCACTAAGGTAAGTTGCCTTAAGAAAACCTGAAAAGGCGACATCAGAGACTATGTACCACTTTTCTCTTTTTGTTCTATCACACACACATGTACACAGGCACCTTTTCCTTTACATTTAGTGTGCTTCTGAAATTCTACCCACTTCACTTCATAGCAGTTTCTTCTAGAACTTTACAGCTTTACTTACTGTCAGTGACTGGCTCCATACAAAATCCTAGCAAAGCATGCAAGAAGTCCACTACATTATTGAGAGAATCCTTGTTCACATAGTCCCTCATTGTTTGTCGGAACTGCATCTTATCTAGCTTGTATAGTTTAGTGAGGCAGTTCTGGGCCTGCAATGAAGGAAGAAAAGTGAAAAAGTCACAAGTACCAGCTTATGCTAGGGACACCACAAGTGTGAGAAGAAGCCTTCAAAAGCAAAGGCTTCCATTCAGCTCTGTTGGCTGGTACCAAGCAACCCTGCTGGACCTTCCCACACCCCACACCCTCCCGGCTCACCAGCCTCCGCTATCTGAGTAAGAAGTGGACAAAGGCAGGCTGAGCAGCATGGGTTTCTTTTCCAAAGGGCTGCTGCTCAGAAGCCCAAAGTTAAAATCTAGTGCTGGCCTCAGAAGGAGCTCAGTATTTTCACCAAGATCAAGATTTTAAGATCTCATGCAACAGCTCAATGTATACATTTTAGACTTGTAATAGGGCAGGAAGCCAGGTTTAATAAACCTCATAGCCTTTGTGCAATGGAAGAAGTATGGTAGCTCCTTGCTCAGCTACTTTGACCTTCAGTAGACCAAATCTAGTTTTGGTATTCATGTGTTTTCAATCTCATGTGAAATGAAAGTTGTTTTTTTAATATGAAAACCAAGAAACATAAAAGTCTGAAATTTGGAATTAGCAATAGACTTTGAGGTATCACTTTCCATCTGCATTACCAAGTCAGATAGATTGATATTTTTAAAAAGATTTATTTTATTTCTTTATGCATAAAAGAACTAGAGTATAGGCTAGAGGTGTGAGGGTGGGGGTGAGAGGATTCAGCAGAGACAGAGTAGGGAGCGGAATGGCAGACCCCCTGAAACACACTGGTGAGGTTAGTAGCAGGTGGGATAGGAGAAGTCTGCTGCGCCATGTGGGTCAGCTCCCTGGTGGGGGACTGAACCCATGCTACAGTGACTATGGACAGCTTCATAGTGCTGAGACTTAACCCCTTGTGCCTCCAGGGTGGCCCTGGATTGACTTATTTTTTCACTCTTCCCTTGTGAATTCCTAGAAGATCGGAAATATTTCAGAGGAGTTAGTCTTGCTGAATATCAAACTCTTTTTCTTGTCTTACAAAATAAATACTACTTATTATAAAATGAAACTTGCTAAGCAGTTACATAAAATGTCTTGCCTAAAGTAGTATTTAATTATTATTCCATAAAGAAGTTTTGAAGATCTTCATTGCAGTATTTACAAAGCACTTTAATATCCTTGGTTGGTACATATTATCCCATTTTCTCTACAGAATTCATTTAGGAACAACCTACTGTTGTGATGCCTAAGTGAGCTAAGAGTCAGAATATCAAAACTTGAGTACATTGATACTGAATGAATATTTTAAATTTCTCTAAGAGCTATCTAATTGTTAAGGAATATATCCTTTTAATAATCCAGGAATATCAACTAATGATGCTATTAATCCAGAAATACATGCTGGGATTGCTAGGCATTTTGATGCATATCTTCAGAGTAATGTATTTCTTTACAGTAAGTATAGAAATCCTTAAAAAGTGAACAGAAACTGAAAGGCAGTTACTGGATGGTTTCATTCACTTGTGGAGAATAAATAACCGAGAAGCAAACTGACAAAACACAATATCAATAACACTTAGATTCTATGAGTACTATAGTGGTTAGTGAAGGGGACAAGGAAAGAGAAGAGAGGGTAAGAGGGAAATGTGGTTGGGTAATGGGCTGGGCTTTGGTGGAAGGTGAGTGAAGCACGTGCACATATGGAGGTGGGAAGCTGCACCCCCCAAATTATATAGCTATGAAAAAAAATAAAATTTGAGAGGAAATAAATTTTTAACTGATTTCTAGGAACCAATGCTTTAAAAATCTGGAATACCTAGTTTTTTAAAATTAGATATTCCCAGGAGAAATTTCTCAAATTTATATCTCTTGAAGAATGCATTTACTAAATAGGGATAAGCAAATATAATTCCTATGATTATTAAATTGGACTGCAGTATAACAGAAATGTTGCCACTAAGTAGTCAAAATAAGAAGACAGTAAAAGTCTGTCTAGACAACCTAGTAGGAAAAATACAGTATTCCTGAAGAGGAAATTAAGGTCCACTAAATTATGGTCAGCTAAGCCTCTGAAGTGGCTTCTGATTCAACTTCTCTTACTTCCCTCAAATGTAGAAAAGACACATTCTCATGTCAGAGCCTGTTTCTACCCTCAACTAAAGCATGACACTTTTTTTTTAAAATATATTTTAGTATTTTATTTTGTGAAATTGGTCTTTTCTCTGAAGAGTGATGTGGCATTAGCCTTGAAGGCAGTTATTCATACTGTGACAAATATAAGAAATCATATGTGTGGCTCTGAGGTGAGCAACATCAGCTTTCTATTAATTATTATTTTCACTAATTATTATTTTCTTTTTCAAATTTTGGTCCAAAATCTAGATCTTGGTTTAAGTTTTCTAGTTTCAGAATTTAGAAGTTACTTACTATAAATATAACCCCCCATTGGCATAGAATAGAGCAATATAATACACAACAAAAATATAAAAACAGAAGGATACATGATGGATAGATAGGTAGATGATGGATTAAGAGAGACACTCAGCATGCTGCTACTGTGTGAACATTTCACCAGAAAACCTAATACCAAGGAAAAATGGCTGGCATTAGATTTTGACATGATCCTAAAACTCTGCTAGAATAGGGTTTTTGTGCACTAAATTTGCATCCAAGCCTTAGATTTTCTTACAGTTTCAACCCAAAAGTTCAAACGAGGCTACTGTCCCAGCTGGGACTGGTTGGGGAGATGGGTCATTGCTCAAGTGTGAAGGGAAAAGAAGCAATCAGTGGAGGGAAATGCAAATGAGCTGGAATGAGACCACATTCCATGACATGATGCTTTGCAAGCCCAAGTGCAGAGTTTCAAGTTTCACACAGTTCAAAAGGACATGATCTTCAGTGTTTAGAAGTCAAGGTTTATTCTCCAATAAAGCAGCCAGATAACTACTGGCTACTTTCACAGTCCTGTTTTGTCCCAATCAGGGCCATTTTCCATCTCAAAGTAAGAACAAACGAAGCCTTAAACTTTGACCACTTTTTCTAATATAAAATAGGTTTCGAGAACACCCAGGCAGGTGATTACAAAGTCATTTCTCACAGACCATGGGAAGCTCATGAAATGTATTCATCTTTGCAAAGTTCTTTCAAAGCGTAAGTCACACATTCCTTTCACCAATTGGGAGTTGGCCTCCCGTTGGCAGGAAGTAGTGTTTTCCCAATTAAAATTTCCTATGCCTGGGTTTTAGATGTCTTGAGATAGCTGATGGGAATCTTCCCACTCCAAGACAGCATTAATTACCCTATGAAATATGATATTTTTCAGGAAACACTGACCCTCATTGTCAAAGGACTCATTCCTGAATTGGAGAGAGGGAACAGAGAGAGGAAATGGAATCTACTGTAATTCTCTTACATTCTCTCGGAATACCTGGTGTCTCAGACGATCTCCAGAGAGCCCTCGATGTCCTTCTCCGCAACCATAGGCGCATCCCAAAGACTTCACTATTTTAATAAGCATGGTTAGAGCAAGCCTATGGTTGCTTACAGGTGTACTTTCATCCTAGAACCCAGAAATGAAAAAGAAAGAGACCTTTGTTCACTTAGCCTACGACTACTTGATGCCACTAAAATTCAACTTGATGATTAAATCAAGTCCATATATTATACAGTGAGTGCCTGCCATGGAAACTAGAATTATCAAGAGCTCAACAAGCAAGTTAATTTTTCTAAAATCTACAATGAGTTTAAAAAGAAAAATGTCTGCACAGTTTGACACCCTCTAATGCAAAAGGACATGACTATAGTTCTCTTTCTTAGAAGATAGGCTTATGATGCAGTGAAACAGGACAGATCTCTTCCTGCCCCGTCAGATAAGCATTCCTAGCTATTGCATTTAACAAGTTTGTCTTCTTGCATTCGAAGGAAGAGGAGGATAATAAGGAAGTCGAACATCTAAGGCAGGTAATCATCAGGTATTAGCCAAGCAAGCCGGCACCCACCTGAAGTCTCCTTATGCCTGTATCAACAGGACTTGCCCATCTCCCTTCGGTAGGTCTTGGCCCATCTTCCTTTTGTTTTACTCCTTTGTATAAATATCCCTGCCTTTGCCCAAGAGCAGGACAGGGGTCTTTCTGACACAAGCCTGCTGCCCTCCTCAGTTTGTCAACAAATTAAACCCCTTGAGTGGCTGAGGGAAACAGAGACCGGCGTTTGGTATCATTTACATATTCTTAATTGGCTAACAGAACAATTTGCCAGAGAGATACAATGAAAACTGTATTGATGAGGAAGTCAAATATTTTCCTAGAAACTACCCTTAGTAGCTCCCTCTTAGGGAGCTACTGAAAACACCACCAGACAAAGACTATTGCTAAATTTTTTAGAACTGACCAAAGTCTGGAGTTTTGCTATTACATGGCCGTTTCTGACATTTCAAAGGACTAGAAAAGTCCTTACACATGCAATGTAGTATAGTACTTATGCACCTGTAAATCTTTAAGGCTAAATAGGTAACCTTTGTGAGATAAATTATGAGAACTATTACCCTTTTGACTCATTTAATCCTCAGTTAATGGAGAAAATGACTCCAGGAAAAACAAACTTCCATAAATTACTTCCAACTAAGCCTAAGAAAGCTGTTGCTAAAAATTGATGCAGATTCTGCCATGGGGAGAGTCATTACTTTAGGGAAGCATCAGCCTTACCTGCTTCTAGCTTCGTTCTGCTGTCAGCTCGTTGACCACAGACCTGATTCCAGCTCCTGTTCCTTAACTTCATGTTAGATAACAAAATGTCTCTGTTTTAGTTCCCTCACCTTTAAATTGCAACCTTAATAGTTTCCCTTCTTACTATGTAAGTTTACTACAAAGACAACAACAAAATAATGGATAAGAATTGCCCCGTACCATGTCTTTTCCATAATCATATGATCACATTGACAAACTCTGGTGTCACACAAAGAAAGAGCAGTTGTATATCTGGAGGGTGTGAAAGGGACGAGGTGTGAGCTAGACATGAGCCGTCATCATGTGGTAGGAGACACCTTGCTTAAAGTTACCAAATTGCTCCTCCTTTTCTAATTTACAGAGGAAGGGGTGCTGGACTCCAGAGATGACGTCCCCTTCAGGACTGAACGTTCGTTCATTCTGTGAGCAGCTGACAGCATTGATGGCTGACAACCCTCAGCAGAGTTCCTCTACAGGAAGAGAGTTGCCTTAGCCCCATCATATTCTCTCTGTCTGCCGCCACCCGCTGTCAGGGGAATGAAGTGGGTGGAGTGTGGAAAGTGTAGAAAGATGGCCTCCGTTACTTCAGGGAGGCATGGGGGTGCCATTAATAAAGTTATAACTTAGTCTCTGCACTTTGCTCAGCTCAACAACACTGGGAGCTGAGAAATAAATAAGGAAGGGGAAAACAGAAATGCCATGGGAACTTGGCCAGGCAGCCTTATGACCACAGGGGGCTACAGATAATTCTGGCAAAAAGAATCCATCGGCACAGCACGCCTCCTGTGAGGAAGGCCCACCTGTACCTGATATCCTAACATAACAAGAGGAAACCAATTCCCTCGGTCATGAAAAGCCCCCCAAAACAGGTTAGAAAAGGGAGCCCCTAATCCTTCAGGTGCAAACCTCTTCTGTCTTGCCTGATGCTTCCCTTAGCAGTGCCTTTCAATAAATTTCCTTTTCTGTTCTCCACTGTCTCTGGGAATTCTTTTAAAATCCCCACCTCCTTCCCATCCCCCTGACTCTGGACTCACCCTGACTCTTCTCTACAACAGTGGGGATTACTTCGAAGAGCCAACCCAGCTTTAGAGCTCCCAGTGATTTGTATTGAAGCCTGTTGCTGCTAGAAAGAAGTTTAGCCTCTCCCTCTGCCCCACCCTGCTTCTTTTATACTTCAGAGATGTTGATCCTAAGAAGTCACTGGAACACTCTCCTGCATTCACCTCTCTATTTCTGAACTGTTTCCTGCAAAATCTAAAGCTCAATTAGTAGCAAGTAGAAGACTCCAACCTATCTGCAGACATTTACTTATTTTTTTGTGCCTTCCAATTCAAAATATTTTATTTTACTTTCTATTCTTAGATCCATAACCTCGGGCAAGCTGCTTCAAGGCAGGACACCTCATAACACTCAAGTCATAGAGCTGTGAGAGTTAAATAGTCAAAATTTGCAAGACCCATTATAACAGCAAAACAAAGGTCATCAGTGTATAGGGCACTGCCTTTCCTGAAGGCATCTTTGTGCAAATCAGGTAAGGAGGTCATCTGGGGGTGAATCAGAAAAGCTGAGTCCTTTTTGTAGATACAGCCTTAGGTGAACTTTGGACCAGACTCCAGTCCTTGTTAGTTCTCTTAGGCCTTTTGCAATAATATAAAGCTCATACAAGGCAGGACCACTTATGTCACCCTGGCAGGGGTTGATTTGGAAGGTGGGTTTACACATTTCTCTAGCTCTGAAAATCCTTTGTAAATTTCTATTCAGGTTATATTTTTTTAAACCTTCAGATGTCCTTGGAATTTTGGTTCTTCTCAAAGGAAACACTGAGATATATCCAATTTACTTACAGGCAGAAATTGAGACAGATAAAGAATTACATTTCAAAATCTCACTACCAGTTAGTAACAGATCTAAAGAGCTAATATAACTTAGCCCTTTCTTTCTGAATTATCAATTCTCCATGCTTCTGGTATTAAAAGTCGGTTGTAAATTTAGATAAATCTGCTGAAAATAACAGATGGAATTGGGACAGAACAGACCTGTGAATAACACAGAAATAGTGCACTTGACTTATGATCACATTTGACTTACAAATTCTCTGTATTACAAAATATTATTTGACAGATTTAATTGTGAACACTTCTATAACAGGTACAGGGTTCAAGGACTCCGCCCCTACTCCAGATGCTGGAACTCCAAATCCCATCAGTACCCAGGAGAAGCACGCTGGGATGTGAGGGCGGAGCTGAGCAGCCAAGTTGAGATAAAACCGGACATGTGGGCTCTGGGGGAACCTGGTGGTTCGCAGCTGATCGTTTTGGACTCAATCGGTTTTCAGCGTGCTGGTGGAGAACAAGTCAGCAGAACTGGTAGGACATCCTAGTTAACCTGTGTTTCTCTCCCTCTTTCCCTGGTTATTCCTTTACCTTTCTCCTTATAAATAAATCCATTATTTAAACTTTTGAGTGTGTCCATAATACGATTGAATTGTAAGCATGTGGGTGAAGATCCACAGACAGGTAACCCAATTCACATTGGGGTGCCCTGTCACACTTCTACAATCTGACTTTTAAAAATCCATAGTGGTAAAAGGTGATAAATTTTGGTCAACATATTTGTATTATCAAATGTCAACTATAATACCTCATTTTAAGTAGAATTCTTGCAAATCTCCATTTAGAAATTAGGTGAATTAATTTAATTAAATTAATTAGGTGAATTAATTTAATTTTGAATTAAAACATATAGTAATGTTGACCATCAGTATACCTAACAACAGCAACAAAAATCTTATCTAAATAATAGGAATATCTACTGATAAAAAGCTTATCAAAATTTCATAATTTTATATTTAATCTTTTTTATTCCCTTGAATATAATAATGGATATCTTATTTCTTTGAGTGTGCAGCTTAGATTCACAGACTAACAAAACAAAAGAAGTAAGAATCTCACTATGTGTTATACAGAGAAATAGGGTACTTAAAATTTGTATCTGTTTTCCAATTCCTGTGTAATTATTGGCTAAAATGGACCTTTAGATCTTAGTATCCAAAATGAAATATTTGTGATTTATAACATTGTTTAGGTAATTTTTATGTAAGATGAACACTAAGGAATATCCCCAGTGGTCTTTGGGAAAGTAATATGTTGGGTATTACAAGATTTTATTAGAAGTGGACTTTCATATGTAGACACATATGAAAAATAGTATGAATAGAAAATCCTAAACAAATGTTCAAAACACAACCAAGAATATTGGGGCCAAAATATTTGGATCAGAGCCACAAATATTGAGAAAATAAATAGACAATGAAATGAAGAAACAGACGACAAATACAGACTACATATGCAGCAAGTAGTACTGGAAAGAAATGGAGAATAAATTATAACAGCAAGGAGCACTGCAACGCTTAATTCAGAAGTAAAAACCCAATACTCTATAAGAAAAATGGACAACTTCTAATTTAAATAATATAGAGGTGGTAGAACTTCACACAGTGAAATCTTACACTTGTAAATACTTAATCTGATTGACAACTGCTAGAGATTTTAAGATCTTGTTGATTGCAAGGTCCTATAAGAATTTTCCAACTTAGAATGAAACTGATCTTACTATCTCTTGATCTTGGAGTTCCCAGTCTTTAGCATTGTGGAAAATATTCTCCTATTGTGTAAATCAGTCTATGCTATTTGGGCATGGCACACTGAGAAGACTAAAACATTGTTCAATTAGGTCCGGACCCCGAAGGTCTTAAGAAAGAGGGCTACCTTTGGTGAGACTGAGAATTATGGCAATATAGTGTCTCTGAGATGTTATCCTGCAGAAATAACATGACCAGACAATTAGCTATAGCATTTCTTGGATGGCAATGGTTTTTGAATTTATAATATAGCTTCGTCTATCTGTTTCTACTACTGCCAACTGAGAACCTAATGAAAAGATTTCTAGATTCATTACTCTATTGCTTTAGTAATTAATTGCTGTTCTGAATCAACAAATTGTTAGCAGTAAACATTGGAAAGAAGTTAGGAAACAAAAGTTATTGGTCGTACCTTCTCTTGGTTCTTATCATTCTTCTCATAGGGTCCACCTCCACCTCCTCCACCTCCTCCTCCATCACCTCCTCCACCTCCTCCATCACCACCTCCTCCTTCTTCTCCTCCTCCTTCTCCAGCGCCACTAACTGAAGGGGCCCCAAATCCACAGGTGGAACTTCCAGAAACTCCTTTGAACTGGAAAGTTCCCTCACTTGGTCTCTTTTCCACACTCTCATTTTCCTTGTTTTCACTCTTCTTTCTGTTCTTTTCAACACAGGGCACCACACCAAGTTGAAGTAAACATTCAACAATGTTTAGCGCCACATCACAGATGCGAGAGCTGATGTCATGGTTAAGGACAAGATAAACAGCCTTTAGAACAACCTGCAAGACAGAGATAAAACAAAAGGTGATTCTTCTTCCCGTACAAATTTGATTTGTGTAATCTATTTTTTTAGGCTGTTCCATGCATATGAGCATAAATAATATAGGCAACTCTCAAATGTAACTAAGTTGCACTGGGGCCTTGTGTTTATACTTTATGTAGCATATGAATCATGTAAAGCATTAAAAATGTATGTATGGGCGGGGATTATAACTGAGATGGAAAAAGGCACAAAATGATGCAAAAATGGACTATTATAATAAAAAAATTTAAAAATCGGGAAAATTCCTGAGTATCTCAGAAAAAAAAAGTATGTGTAGGGGCCTCCCTAGTGGCGCAGGGGTTAAAAACACAACACTATCAAGCTACCAGCAGCCACTGCAACATGAGTTTGATCCCTGCATGGGGAGCTGACCCACAAGACACAGCAGACCTCTCCTGTCTCATCTGCTGCTCCTCTCAGCAGTGTATTTCAGTAATCTACCTGTAAATCTTAAAAAAAAAGGTCTGTATGTACTACCTCACTTAAGTATGTATTTCAAATCTTATCATGCTATAGACAAATGTAGTGAGGATACAGAAACATGGAGAATTTATGGAGAGTAATTGGAGCTGACCTTGTGACTTGCAGCTTCCGTTTTACCCAAGTGAAAATATTCATGTGATTTTTTAAAATCAAAATATCTTATTTCTCTGCCTTTCACTTTCACGAAAAATCTGTAGCGAACAATGACTTCCTTATGTACATAATAGAGGGGCATTTGTGCATTCACAATTGTACCATTATTTATACTAATTTCAAATGCCAAATATTTCTGTTTAAATTATAGCCTTATATTGATTTTAATATATTCAATTATTTACTGAGTCAATTCCCTAACATGAAATAGAAAATTTTGTGAAATATAATTGTAAAACACAACAATCTTTTCATTTGCTAATAACTATAATCAAAACAGGCACTCTTGAGAATGTGGGTTGAAACCTTTTATAGGACTTCTGTTCATTCTTCCCTGCTACATAGGAGGTTTACAGTCATGTTGCTTATGTAAGAAAAGAATATAAACTGAGAAGTTTTCACTTTCATTCTTGAAAAAAAAAAGGCTAAGAAAACACACACATTTATGTATATGTATATGTGTGTATTCAGGATTCTTATATCTTTTGAGTATAAAAGTATTCTGAGTAGATCTAATAGAATGTTTGAAAGAAAAGGAAAGGAGCATTTAAGATGGTGGACATCATCTAAGAGGTGAACTTTTACAGAGGTGGATTTTTCACTTTAATGTTCAACATTTTCCAGAAAGTATATGTCTATTTTATCCAACATTGTAAAAGCTGCACCGAACACACAATATCTTTTAAGCTTTGATGAAAAACACTCTTGCGCCTTACAGAAAGATCAAGCATGCCATTCTTGTGGACAAAGTTATTGGTCCCATCAATATGTTCCGTGTCCTCCAAGTAACTGTAGTTTATGCAGGAGTCAGTGAAGCTGCGAGGCAGGTTTGCACACGCCAGGGGCTCGTGCGGCATCTCTGGGATAGGAACCTGGTTGCACAACTTCCTCATGTGCTCACTGAAAAAGTCTGCGTAGCCTACGTTGAATGAAGCCAGCGTGGTGTTGAAGGTGGCAACTGTGATAGTGGAGATCTGGGATCGCACTATTGGAAGGAAAGCGATGGCTTAGATTCTCATTAACCTGTGGCACCATATCAGACATTATCATTGAAAGCATGATCATAATCACAGTTGTAGCTTTTGGAGATGTTTGATTTATAGTCTCAAAGATAGTTTCTACTTGCCGGGAATGACCAAAAGCATTAAAGTCATGTAATAAATAATGAATAATACTTATTCATTATATACATTGCTATATATAACTTACAGAAAATATGGATTCAAAATGACTTCACTACACCCAGGCTAGAATTTAACTTATAAGTGAATTTTACCCACTCCAATGGCAGACAATCGTTGATATAAATGTGTTTAATTAATTAAAGCATTTCCCCCATGTGTTTGTAAGTGTTAAAATATTTGGCTTTATCTAGTACATATAAGAGTAATAGGCGATAGATGTGTGGTGGTAACTAAGAATGTCATCAAATGCAGTCCAGAGCGGGGAAAAGAAAAGGGTTAGTGGACATTTGTACATTAAAACAACAGAACAAGAACCCAAGTCGCAGTCCTGCATTCCACCCAGAGACATGTTTTGAAGCACCTCAGGCACTTAACTAAGTCAGAAGCTGTCTGAGCAAGGACTTTGTGGTCTCCAGAGGCAGGGACTTTTTTTTTTTTTTTTTGCTGACCGTGGACAAGCCTTTCGAAGGCAGTGGAGAGCGGAACAAAGTATGAAGTCTAGATGTTCTCTAGTCTCTGCTAACCCTGTGACCTTTTTGAAACCAGATGAAGATGAATGACCTGCTTTTGCTTTCCCTCTGGAGGTGTGGTGCTGTCAAATAGGTCTTGCTACTGAGCAAATTCTAAAAATGGACCATACATAAATTCTCAAGCAATATAATACAAGAATGCAAGTTTTCAAAAAGCAGAAGCAGCCAGATTGCAATGAAAATGGAGCATGGAGTAAAAACAGGAAAAGGAACCTGAACTCCCGCCTGCAGGCGCCGCCTCCGACCCACCTTCCTTGACTGTGTTTTCTCCGTGACTGTTGGAGTGGTCGGGCAGGTCACTCACCAGCGTGTGATGGGAGTGCGAGTGCCTGGCACTCAGGCTCTCCATCTCCGTGGCTGCGTCCGAGCTGCCCCGCCGGGTAAATTTCCCTGAGAAGGACAAGAGACCACAAGGGCTTTTAAAATTGGAACGACTCGATGCGGAGATTTTTGCTTTCACAAAGGACAGCAGGGAGAGTTAGGGAATTTTAGGAAGCACTTGAGGCAAAGTCAAATAGCAGGAATTGAACTTGCCTGGGGAATATTCAAGTCAAGAGGATGGATGAAGCTGCCTGATAAGGTCAGCCCTGATCTAAACCAAATGTCAGAACCTTCTTGGGTCCTGACTAGCTGTCAGCTCTGGATTTTGCCTGGCTTTCTGATATGACACCCAACAAGGGGGAAATGTTTCTTTACGTCTTCCTTATTTAATATCACATTTAAAGGCTGTCTTTGGTTTCACCATGAAAGTTAATACACACAACACTTTTAGGCTATGGATCTAGGTCTAGAGTAATCCAGGAAAGGGGGCATGTCAGGTTACACAGGATTCTTACATAATTAATTTACTTTTCTGAATTTCTTGGACTATAAAGACACAGCACTACTTAGGTATTGAGGAGTTTCCTTTTGGCCCAAATTTCTAAACTGCGCTACTCAAGAAAGCACCAGATCGACCCAAGAGCCCTAGGTTCAGATTTCTAGACAGGTCATTCAAGCCCTGCCCTGCTTTGGAAGCTACTCATGGTCACCTAAAATCGTGGTTTGCCAGCCTCCTTTTTCGATGCCTCGCCTGTCTTCTCCTAGTCCAGAGAAACTGCCAAAGGAGAATGTGCTGCGGGTGGGTGAGACATCCAGGTGGTCCTCGTGAAGCAGGAATGGCACCCCCATTCTCCTCGGCCTCCTCTTCCCTGTGTGGTGGAAAGGGATGGAGCCTTTCCTCTCTCGGTCCTCCTTTCGGCTCTTGAACTACAAGGATGAGATGAGAGCAAAGGATGAGTTTATAGTAGGCTGATCAGAGAGTGCCGTGACCTGCAATAAAATATAAGCAACTTGGCCCTCCCTGGTGGCGCAGCAGGTTAAAGCACTGCACTAAGAAGCTTAAGCCACTTCCCCGCATGAATTCAATCCCCGCCTGCCCCGGAGGAGATCCACATGGTGTGGCAGAACTCTCCTGACCCGCCCGCTGCTCCCCTCAGCAGTGTACTTCATTGATCTGCCTGTTCTGCTCCCCACTCTGTCTCTGGTGAATCCTCTCACCCTCTGCATCTCTGGCCTGTACCCCAGTTCTGTATGAATAAAAAAATAAATCTTTAAAAAAAAAAAAATATATATATATATAAACAACTTCCAGGAAGAGGAGCCACAGCTCACTAAATAGCACCCATTATAGGTGGGAGCAATTTCTACAGTGTGTTAAAAAAAAAATGTTAAAGGAAATGAGCAAAAAGGAGTGGTTCTTTCTGCTGGTTTGTTTAGAAACCAGCTGGTGCTCAAAGTGTGACCTCTGGATCAGCAGCATCAGCATCACCTGGGAAACTATTAGAAATGCAAACCTACAGGCTAACAACCCCGACATCCCGAATCAGAAAATCAGAAGCTAGGGCAACAGTGTGTGCTTTAATAGGGCCAACAGGTGAATTTGAGTGTAATGTAAAATTTGAATTTCAGATCCTTGCATTGCCATGAGGATGAGTCAGTATTTTTGTTGTTGTTTTTGCTGTTCTATTGTTAAAGATGGAGATCAGTTCTTCCAGTCAGACAGCTTCATATGTGTCCCATAAGGGAAGGCAAAGGTGTGCTGTGCTCTGGGTCACACCCAATATTCTAACCATTCAAATAAGTTCAAGATCCAAGGCCACTAAAAGTTTGGAACTGCTTGGGAAATTTTATTTTTTGAGAATTAAAGTGTGTTGTTTCTTAAATTAATTAATTATCAATCAATTAATTAAAGGAAAGAATGCTCTTTAATTAATATATTTCCATAATTTTTTCCAATTTTGTACAATATCTGCTTTCTCCTCTCAGGTGTAGTTCCTGTAAAATTTGCTTGGGAATTTTTAAAGCCTTAATTAAGTGGTTAATTAATTGAGGTAATATTGGGATGCCCCATCAGGTATTACCACCGTAGTGCACTCACCACCAACTTCCCATATTTTACCACTGTACACCACGGTGCTTCCTCTTCATCTCTCCTATCCTACCTCTTGCATCCCCCTTCCCACTTTGGTGTTTCAGTTCTGTAGTCAACTATCAAAGATTAATTTTTAAGCTTCATTTAATCTGTTAGTTTAGTTACTTTATATTTCATATATTAGTGACACCATCTGGTACTTATCTTTCTCTTTCTGATTTATTGCCCTTAGCATTGTCCCTTCTAGCTCCATCCATGTTGCTGTAAATGGAGAGTTTTCTTTAAACTATCAAAATAACAAAAGCACAAGTGATTTTACTCACCTTCTTAAAAATGTTCATGCCAAGGTCTGTAGAAAGGTCTGGAACTGCAGACCTCCGCAGATTGGTCAATGAAACCTTTGAAAAGGCCTCAGGGCTGAGAGATTTTTCCTCTTCATTACACTTCATGGTGAGATCCTTAACAGATAGTACGCATAAACTTAATGATGAAGGATTTAGGGCTTTGTATTCCAAGCACTTTCATACTCTGATGCCATCTCTGTCATAGGGAAATGTCTTCTGTTTTGATATCTATGAAGGATTTGGCAAGATACCTACTGATGTCATTGAGCTACTGGCCAATTTTGAATTATGGAAAAAGGTTAAGTCATGTTTAGTAAAATGCTGGTGTCATTCATTTTATATCTTCACTCGACAGATCTCCCATAAGATACTAGCACTACAATAAGTAAAAAGAAGAAAAAAGAGAATTCGTTACCGCAGAAATAGGTTTCAAGAACAATGGATGAGTTTCTCTTACCTGGGTTTTGTGGGTGTTCACTAGTGAGGGAGCTGCTGCCACCATGGAGCTGCTCCTCGGTCTGGGAAGGAGAGGAAGGTCAGGCTCAGGGGGCTTCTCCGGCTTCTCTTCCAGCATGTGCCGCAGCCTTTGTAGGTAATACATCAGAGACCACTGGGTGCCTTCCTCAGACCAGTGGGGCTGGAGTAGGCAGCGAAGAACAGCAACATCAAAGTAGGTGGCATAGCGGGACCTTTGGCAAGGAGGTATCACCAGAGAAGCCCTGTTCCAAGTGGCAGAAAAACAATTATATGGGCAGACAAACATTCCAAGGTTCAGCAACGTGGTCTATCGCTGTGGCTTTCTCATTGTTCATGTATCATTCCCTTTTCTTTTGCCTGGTTTATTATAATGACTCCCTAACGGATATCACTCCTTTTGTGTGGTGACCATGATGGAAGTCTAGAGAAATAAGTGAAGACTCTGTGAGGATGCAGAGGGTCCAAAGATAGCACAAATGCCCTTCTACAGGGGACTGATTAATGCTGGCATGTCCATGCTAAGTACTCAGCTGTAAAGGCGGAAGGAACTATTGATAGATTAAATAATTATGCTGAGTAAGAAAAATCAGACAAAAAAGAATATGTATTCATTTACATAAAATTTTACCAAATTGGGAGCCAATCTATAATGATAGAAACCAAGTCAGCAGCTGGCAATGGATGGGGTAAGAATGGAAGAGGGGGAGGGTCAACTGCAAAGAAGCACAGGGAAACTTCTGGGAGTTGATAAGTATTTTTTTAAAAGATTTATTTATTATGCTTACAGAACTGGGGTACAGACCAGAGGTGTGGTGGGTGAGAGAATTCACCAGGGACAGAGTGGGGAGCAGAACAAGCAGACTGACAAAGTACACTGCTGAGGGGAGCAGTGGGCAGGTCAGGAGAGGTCTGCCGCGCCATGTGGGTCAGCTCCCAAGGCGCTGGATGGAACTTATGCTGCAGTGGCTTTGCACAGCTTCCTAATGTGGTGCTTTAACCCATTGCGCCACCAGGGAGAGCCCCAATGTGTATGCTTTTTATCTTGATTATTATTTGACTTATATTCATATTTAAAACTTCTATAAAATGTAAACAAAGTATAGAGGATAATTGCAACATATCAAGGCTATAGAGGAGTATTGTCATTAATGAAGAATGTTTTTAATTATCGGTAAAAAGACAAACAGCTCAAAGACAAAGGGTATGGAAGGAAATTTCACTGCAAAAAAATAACCTAAGACAAAATAAATATACAGAGACTTTACTTCATAATAATCAGGGAAATGTATTGTAGATTTACATCATAGCCACAAAACTTAAAAGACTGTGGAAACCTGAAGCTAGTGTGCACTTCCAAGTGTATGAACTAGTGAGATCACTCCTACATTGTCAGGTAACTCAAAGCACGATTTGGTGATAATTACTAAGTTCTAAAGTGTTCTTAATCTATGATCCAGAAATTCTATTCCAAATGGAAATTCTGCCTTGAAGAAACTCCTGCCCATGTATACAAAGACATATGTCCAAAAATGTTCACTGCAGAAATTTGATGTGATAAAAAAGTAGAGAATATTTTTAAAGTCCATAAAAGGAGAACAGAAAAATAAAGCTGGTTATGTACATTCATTGAACAAATATTAATTACTCTGTGATGTACTACACTGGGGTATTTTTAATTCTCTGTTCTACCTATGCATATCTTTGTGAAAAGATATACAATGGAGCACTGGGGGACTGTGTACTATTTTCTGCATTTTCAAAGAACACTAAGAACTTGGGCTTTACGAGTAAGGACTAAATATCCATTACTTATATACAAATGTATGTATATACTATATGTACAATATAATTATAGGTGTATACATTTATATATACAGTCATATATGGTATATGATATACAAATATAGATCTGTATACATAGCATAATAAACACATACTACATACATATCTAAAGTATATATATATTATATGTGTAAAATACTGTTACAATAATATATAGATTGTATATAAGTATAATATATAGATTGCATAAGTATATATAATTATATTTACATTTATATAACATTGTACATATAAAATATTAAAATAAATAACATAATTTACTCTCATTATCTCCTTGATGATGTGTTAAGTATATTCTTCCCAAATATTTTATTATCTAACTTTCCATTGTGTAATAATCATCTTATTATTATGTAATAATCATCTTATTAGATTATATGTAATATAAAATGTTATGTAATTCTGAGTCTCAGAATTTTATGAATTGCTGAATTTTTGTAACACACCCAAGGGTTAAATTCAAAAGTGAGTTTCCCATCCTGGTCTGGAAACTTTTTATTTGTGCCTATCTCTGGCCCCTGACCCCACCCATTCTTCACTCTTCCCTACCTCCTTATCCTGGAAGACTTATCTGTAGAGACTTCATCAAAGTTCCCATGTCTGTGATCCTTCACTGAATTTGGCCAAAGAGTTTCCCACAGGAGACGGGACAATGATTTTTTTCCCCTCACTAAACTTTGCCAAGGCCTGGCATTGTGACCCAGGGTGGGCAAGAACTTGGTCCCTGATGGAGCTCCCACCAGAGTTCTCCCCACACCCCAGTGCCTTTTCCCTTCAGACCTGGAGCTGGTAGGTTCCAGTCTGCACCATCCCTGGAGCACTGCACTAACTCCACAACCTCTCCAGGCTTTTGTAACTAATCCCTGTCAATCTTTCTTCAAATTGCCTGGCATGCCACTGATTTCCTCCTGAGACCCTGATGATGACACCATAAAGTCTATTTTAAAAGAAAGTAGCAATGTTGTTTTTCATTTGTACTAGTTTCCCAAGAGATTTTTACCACTTTTTCTGGTCCCCTCAACCTCCATTTCATCCTCTTTCTTAAAAAAGCATGGACTAACCCACTCACCACCTAGAATAAAAGGATTTTCCCTCAGTGCTGTACTTCTGTATTTATAAAGAAAAGACTAAGTATGAGGCTGGTTGGCTACCAGCTGGGTAATTTTAGGTCCTCAAGTATTTGTGCCAATCACTTGACTTATTATAAGTCTTGAAAGCTGTTGTTTTCTTTCCTAGGCTATTAGAGTAGATATTAGTAGCTCAACAGAAAGATCACACCTGCCCCCACCCAATCTTCATAAGACTAGCTAACAGCTAACATTGCCATTTTCTTTCTGTTCCACACCCCATGTCCCCAAATATTTCTAGTTTGTAAGTTAGATTGAGGTGTTCCATAAATTATCACAGTGTTCCAGGTATTTATTTGCCTGAGACTAATGGACTATTTCCATGAGAATTCTAAGGGGCACATGAAGAAGGGCGGTTATTAAAATGCATATTCCCAGGCTCACCCAAGACATACTGAACCAGAATTGTTAGGGATAGAAAGTTCCCAAGAACATTTATCTTAAATTGCAACAGGGTGGTCCCCAGGAAGAGGGGAAGTCCCAGGTTCCCTGACCTCCCCTCTCCCAAAGAGAGGTGGAGGGAGCTGAGCAGGGAGGAGAAGGAATGAAGCAGGATGGAGAACGAGAAGGAGACCTAGAGGAGGCACATGGAGCAGAGACCTGTGAAGAAGCGGCACTTGCCTTTTGGTCCTGGACTGGGTGACACAGATGTCGGTGAGAGACCCATGGGGAGGTTAACTATGGCAGCGTTTCTTTGATTTTGATTGTGCTCTTTTCCTCCAAGACTCGTCTGTTTCTGACCCTTTTCTATGGGTCCCTGCTGGAAGGTGCTTTAGACTTGTGGTGGGCTTTCAGGCATTGCTCTGGGCCAATCACTTTTGGGCGGACTTTTACCCACGAGGGGATGGGTAACTTTGGGTGCTTGATTTGGAAACTATATTCTTTTGTCTTTTCTGTATTGCACACTGACTGTATTAAAGTTTCTTTCCATTAAAGGTCTATATGTTTTGTCTTGAAGCAGCAGATGACAAAAACTTTAGTGTGGGCACTTTGGGGGCTCTGAGGTTCCCCCTCCCTGCTCTGTAATAAAACAATGCTTCCAGATCATTTTCAAATACTCAACACGATGCAAGCACAATTGTCCTTACAGAAACACATAATACATGACTTTTGTACTTTTAAGTCAACATCCAAAATAACTTCTGTAGGGAAACACTAACTTGAATGATATGTTGAGAGTGTTGACCCTGTTTATATCTTTATATGCAAAATGTATTGGACTGAATAGTCAACTGACTATAGTTGAGTCCCACCATCATTCCTGATTCCTAGTAGTAATGTGAGTTCAGCAGATGCTGGTCTGTGCAAGCAGTAAAACTCTGCCATTGTAAGACTGAAATCAGACTAAAAACTGTACCTTAGGTGACCAAAATTTATTAAGTTCACACTTCAATTATCTAATATTTAAAGAAACTTATTTGAAACAATAGTGACATTAGCAAAGCATTCTGTGTCCCATATTTATAACCAAACTACTTCACTTTCAGTATTATATAAGCATTAGTCTATTTGGCTTAAAGTATTAATTCTAATGGGATGATAGTCAATAAAAGCAAGAATTGTCAATAAATATTTTCATTTCATTTAGGACAGCATCATCAGATACACTCAACTATGTGACTAATAAAAGTCATTTTCATAAACTAGCCATCTAACATATGAGAAAAACTTGCATAATGATGTTATGTTCTCATTGTACAACATGGTAGAAATCTTTCTAACTGTAATATTCAAACACTTTATACAATTTGTATTTTAAATGGCATATGTAAAAATAATGACAATAAGTACATATACAAAAATATTAGTGTTCATATAGACCTAATGGGCTCATGGGTTGATTTTTATTTTTAAAACTATTTTATAACCTGCACATTTTTTTCTATAATTAGTATATGCATATGTTTGTAATTCTTTATATAGATAGATAGATAGATAGATAGATAGATAGATAGATAGATAGATAGATAGATAGATAAAGATTTATTTATTTATGTATACAGAGCTGGGGTACAAAAATGCAGGGTGCCAGAAATATAGGGGTGGTGAGAGAATTCACCAGAGACAGAGTGGGGAGCAGAACAGGCAGATCAATGAAAGTACACTGCTGAGGGGAGCAGTGGGCAAGACAGGAGAGGTCTGCCGCACCATGTGGATCACCTCCGGGGCTGGGGATTGAACTCGCACTGAGCCGTCTGTGGCTAGTTTGCAGTGCTGCATCCTTACCCATTGCACCACCAGGGAGCGCTCTCTTTATACATCTTTAAGTAGAA